TTTGACTGCTATTTTAATTTTGTATCAATTAATACAAGCTTTACGTAAGTTAAATGGGTGCTTTATACTTTTATAATGAAGTTATTATGCAGTAGACACGTTGAAGATATATAATTTTTGTGTTTTTCAATTTGTTTGTTGATGCACGTATGACCTTATTCTCGTCAGAGTGCTTTCAGCTAAAACCTGGCTTTATCCCTTTCAGCTAGAAGAGGAACAGTCTATCAAGAATGCTTCCATCTGGGCCATGAAGGAATACTATGCCAACTACTCACGTCTTCTTAACGACACTGATGCTACTCCTCCCCCAATGGACCCTGGGGATGTTATCCGAGGCCCGTGCTGGGAGACTGCAGTCGGCATTGTAACGAAAAAGACAAATTAATTATGATTATTTCACTTTTTTCTGTCTTTTGTGTACTTGCTGTGAAGGATCAAAGGATTTTAATCTATTTATTTTCCTATTTTTAAAGGAAACTGTGAAAAATGGACCTAAAATGTTAGCTTTAATGAAAAATGTTCCCTGTTCTGCAGGAGTTTGTGAAGCTGACCGTTTCAGACATACAGGTGACCTACCTGACCATCCTGATTGGCGACTTTGCCAGAGCCGTTATTGTCCGTTTCCTCAACTACTGCTGGTGCTGGGATCTGGAAGCTGGATTTGTAAGTCTGTAAAAAAGCTTCCTTTTCTATACATAAAATATAAATGTAATTGTGATGAAATTGAGTCATACTTTACGATCTCTGAACAAATAAATTAAACCAGTGTCAGTAGAAGATATTTTCTCTGAGGAAAAATGTCCATTCATGATATAAAACTATAGATGACTTAGACTTATATTAATCAATAGCCTGATTTTACATGTATCTACCTCTGATAAAAATGTAGTCTTGATTTCTCTGATGTTTGTTGCTGATAGCCTTGATTTTAGGTCCAAATAATATTCTAAGGCTACATTCACACAGCAGCCTGAAGTGACCCAAATCCAGATTTATTTGCCCATATGCGACCTGAATCCGATCTTTTCCTAGCAGTCTGAACAACACAGATCCGATTTTTTTCCCAATGGGCCACTTGGCTTTGTGGTCTTGAATCCGATACAAATCAGATTTTTACTAATCATCGACCTGAATGTCATTAACACTCAACAAAGGTCACGATTCAGTGTCTTGCTATGCAAAAGCGGGAGGAAAAGCAAGTAAGGCGCACGATAATGCGGAGAGCAGTCTAGAAAGGATTATATTAATTCAATTCAGTTTCAATTCAGCTTATTTTTATAAACACAGAGCACACTCGCCTGTGACGTCATGTGTCCTCTACTGCACATGCGGGACACTTAAGTTGAGTGAATGCAGTTCACGCAGGAGATCAAATACAAGTCACTTTTATTTGGAAATGTGAACGGCAACGCCAAAAGAATCAGATTTCACCAAAATAATTGGAATTGAGCATTAAGGCCTGCAGTGTGAACGTAGCCTAAATCTAGTTCATTATACCTTTAAATTTTAAGGACAACTATTGATGAGTTCATCACCCTAACACTGAGGTAACTGCTGTGTCTGATCCCTTTTTAGCCATCGTACGGAGAGTTTGACATCAGTGGCAATGTTCTTGGACTGGTCTTCAACCAGGGGATGATCTGGTAAAAAAAAAAAAAAAAAAAATATATATATATATATATATATATATATATATATATATATATGCCCTAAATTACTAGCACTATTTATTATTACTATGTTAACTGCATGGTATTTTTTTATGAATCTGGGCTTCTGTTGCTACTTTCATTATGATAAAGTTAGAATGTACGGTTATGATGCCCTACGGTAGCCTCGTGAGACCATCCTGATCTCGCGAGCTTTCAAGGTTTCACTCGCTAATCAGTCTGGAGACTCTCCGTTGAAGAAAATTTGGAGACGTTCACCAAACGAACGTCCAATCAGCGTTGGCTTTGAGGCGGGTTGAGGTGTGACGCAACGAGAAGCGCGACAGTTCAGTCTAAAGAACATGGCGGCTTCAGCCGATGAAACTAGCGTTAGCGTGGCTATCGAGCAAGTTTTATCGGAATTACAGAGTATTTCTTCACTGAAAGAAGAGCAAAGCACTGCTCTGGAGGCTTTTCTCAGAGGAAAAGATGTTTTTGCTCTTCTCCCGACTGGTTTTGGCAAGAGTTTGATCTATCAATTGGCTGCTCTTCGTCGTCGCTCTGTTAGTACGTCATATGCTTCGTCGATCTGATTGGTTTATTTGGCCCGTCTATCACCAACATAGGCCAATCAGCTAACCAGTATTTTCGCCCCTTCCCAAAATTACTTCAACGGAAGGTTTCCAGATGGATATGCGGAGCAAATCCATCTGGCGGAGTCAGGTTAACCCTACGGCACCCTGTGGGTTTTTATGGCATATTTTGACATTTGGATATTTCAAGAAGTCAAAACCTGATTATCTACATATACATTCTTTTTAAAATTGTCTTTAAATTAATGTTTTTTTATTTTTAGAATAAAAAATGAAGTAGGGCTCATTCTGACCACTTTTGATTCCCCTTTTCTTTCTGCAATCATTAATTTGACTTTCGACAACATTAACAGCATAACATTTTAGCAACATTAGCAGTTAACCATTGTTGGTTTAGCATCGTTTTAAGGTCTCTTACACAATATGTAAAAAGTTACATAAGCAGCAATATTTACCGACTGCTTGCTGGTGATTCCCTGATTGTTGAAATTGCCTCTTTTGATGGAATAGAGATGGGAGTGGTGATGGATAGGGAGGCAAATGTTGGCCCCCTTCCCTGAGATACATAAATCCAGGAGGCAGATCAAAGTCACGCTTTGTGGAGAGCTCGACCATGTGGGCTTTTCTGGTTTAAACAAAGAGCCCATATGGAACAACTAAAATGCTTTTGCACTCCAGATTTTCAAGCAGGTTTTAACTCAAGTCTAACACCAACACATATGTTTTAGCAAAAAAAATCTCATTTCTGGGTAATAACACATTTAAGATGAATTTCAACAGCAAAAGAAAAAACAAATCTAGTAATATCTATAAAAAAAATACAACTCTTGAGAAATGCACTATTCAATTTCCCTGTGAAATGTACCAAAACAATGTAATTTCAGGAAAGGAATAAATTAGGGTGCCTGTGAGGGACCGAGCCAGCCAAGCATGAGGACACAGTGGTGATTGTCAAGAAAACTGGGTTTTATTTCCCCAAAGTAACAATAACCCAAACAAAAAATTCAGGGCCCTTAAAAGAGGACAAATGAAAAGACTAACTAAGGGCAAAAAAATATCAAGTTCAAACATATCAAACCTCAAACTAAATGAAAAAAACAAAAACTAACCTGACACACAGCAAACAAAGGGGACTTAAATACTGGCTGATCAGACCAGACTGACACACTGAGGAAGAGGTGGGGAGAACATCTACACATATTTAACAAAAAATAACTTAACAGGTAGCTTAAGTTTTAAACTGAAATGACAATTATTAAACAAATTAACAAACTGAGAAAATCACAAAAGTAAGAAGAAGAAATTATGCAACATATTTAAAATGTTGAGTCCATGGTCTTCCCCCATAGTGGAATTCAAGATGGTATCACCCAATCAGTCCATGATCATGTCAGCCACACTCTCCCAGTTGATGGCACTCCCATAACACCAGAAAATAAAGCACAAAATATATTAAGCATTTGACAAAATAAAATATACAAAAGTTAACCAAAAGTGCGCGCTACAATTGGAACTAATGTCTTCAATGTTGTCAAAATAAACCTATACATTTATGCTACTGTGTATTAAAACTTATGAAAAAGTGGTTGTGTGTGGGGTTACTGACCATGTGACCATCACAATGCCCTCACTTTATTCCAACTTACATGTAGGGGAAAACATTCCCACACATTTGCACCACCTCAGGTTCACATGATGAGATCATTACTCAGCCTTTAAAATATATTTGCTGTTAAAACCTGAGAGATTTAGTCTGATGTTCTCCTGACTGCTAAAGAAGGAGGGAACAGAACAGTGAGATCTAGGTTAGAGGTAAAGTTTTTAAAGATAACTTGAAATTATCCAATCTACTATCCAGAAACTAAGCTAGCAATTTGGGACATTAACACATTTTTCTGTCAACATTCTGAAAAGGTTTACCTTGAGAGAAAACAAAATGATTCTACCAGGCTCTTGCTTCTGTTGATGTGAAAGTGCATGTAGCTAAAACCATAAAGATACTGAAGAAGTTTAACTCTCTTGGGAAATATGAACAAGGAAAGATTGCTCTCTAAGAAAAGCAGTTGGACAAACTACCATGCAAAGTCCCAACACCCTGCAGGGGGTGTAGAGCTGGTCCAGCGTTCCTCTGCTGGGACGAAAACTACAGTGCGTCTTCTAAAGCAAAGGTTTGACGATGAGCCGGACTTTTCTCTCCATCACCCTGGCATAGACCTTCCCGGGTAGGCTGAGAAGTCTTAAGCTGCATTCACACTGAACGCAGCAGGAGCAGCTAGTTTACATGCAAAGTCAATGGTTGACGCTTGTCAAGGCGCAGCAAAATGTCCCGAGGCGCCTTTTGAGCAGCAGGCCCAGCGCGTCTGAGTAGCTGAAGCAGCGCAACGGTAGCGTTTGAGCATCTTACGCACGCATCAAGGTGCAGCAAAACATCCCGCAGCGTGTTTTGAGCAGCAGGAGCGCCGTGCCGCAAACGCAGCTGCTGCTCGAGTTGGAAAAATTGAACTTCAACCAATCAGTGAAGCTGATCTGGAAGCTGGCAGGGAGACGGACACAGCACTGCTGATTCAGAGCGCTATGGTCACTCCTCTGAAACTGTTTATTAATGCATAAATTTACTTAAAATGCCGAAATCTGCAGGCAAAACATGTTCACTTTTATTATCCGCTGCAAAGAGGTGACCGGGCCAGAGACTGCTGTTAAATGGGATTCCTACTGACAGCGCACCGCTGGTATGTGGGGAAATAATATGATGGGGTAGCTCCGCCCAACGGGCATCAGTCCCATTTTTCCACCAGAACTAAACTTGTACAAGAATCAAAAATAAAGCAGCACACACATTTTAGCTGCTCTTGCTGCTTTTGGTGTGAACCTAGCATAATCCACCTGTAGTTGGAGTACTCTCTCCAGGTCCCTCCTCTTATTGTGGAGACCCATCACCTCAGTCTGCCAGTGCAGGTGCACTTTCACCTACATATGGGCATCCAATCTGCACAGTGAACTGAATTGTACTGATTGGAATCTCCTTTTTCAGAGGCTGGGCAGAACAAATGCATTGCATAGAGTTGACTTCATGACTCCACAATAACCATCTTTGCTGTCACTGACTTCCACATGATGTTAAAGAGAGATGTTAGGAATGACAGTCGAAAACATCCAGAGACCTAAGGTACTCAACATGGTTCTCATCACTCCCCAAAGTCTTGCTGCCATGGACTTTGAACACCTCTGTGACTTCAGCCTGGTTGATGAACATACCCGTCTTGGAGTAGCCTGGGTGCCAGTCCGAACTTAGTCCCGCCCACAAGGTT